CCCACAAGCCACTGGCCTGAGGGAGCCGACACGAGTCCCGGGTCCTCATCCTGTGCACCCTCATGAACACCTGCCCTGTGGGGCAGACCCACCACCCGCGCCCCCGTGCCCTCCACCCCTTTCCCGTGAGAACCTCAGGCCCGTAGAAATGACGACCCAGAGGACTTCACACCAAGACCATGCCCTGGTCCACTAACCGCCCACGCTGTGATCCCAGCCCTGCCCTTGACAGGAACGTCCCTCAGACTGCTGTTGGATCTAACAGGACCCCACTGACCCTCGATTTCAGATAAATGATTGTTTGGTGCGAGTGTGGCCCACACACTTCCTCCCAACCCGAAGCTCACACCCCCAGGCGCCCACAGCCCCCCACTTCTCTGTGTTAACCCTGCGCCCCCGCTTGGTTGCCGTGTCAGCGCCAACGCCCCGGCCCTCCATGCCTTGCCATCTCACTCCAAGCCTGGCTGGCCCCGGCCACCCTCACCCGGTGCCATGTGGCCCACACCGCCACGCTTGTCAGGGCTCCCTGAACCGCGTCGTGCCCACCAGAGTGCAGCCAAGGCCCTTTGCTTCCTGACCACGGCCGGTGTGGTGGGCACTGTTGCCACAAACTCTGTGGGAGACCTACAGGGCGGGCCCAGCAGCCACATGCTCAGGTAGACGCTGTGGCCTCGCGCTCACGGTCTGGTGTCTTCCTTCCAAAGTCTTAGCCCCACGACCTCACCCTTGACTTCCAGCCACCTTCTCCACCCCAGGGCCAGGCTCTGCCTGCCTCCCTCTGTGCAGCAGCCTCACCGACGCCCTCACCAGCAGGTGGACCCAGAGTCTGCTGGCGCCCCCACACATCAGCTGTAGGCATGGGGTGCCCGTGGCACTTACGGGGTCAGATGAGAAGAGAGTGCGCGTTGTCACAGCAGCAGAGGAGTGAGCCAGGCCGAGGCGGAAGTGTCTGTGCCAGAAGCCCCACCCCACCCCTGGGGCCACCAGAGGCTCCTTGTCCACACCCAACTCGGTGACTGTCCCATTCCTGCCCACCGGCCCCACACTTGCTGTCCTGGCTCCTTCGCTTCTCCACGTCCGTGTCTCCTGACTGTCTCCCTCCTTTGTGCACCTCTGCGGGCAGCCAGGCAGTGCCTGATCATGCTCACACCTGAGCCCGCATCCACCCCAACCCACACCTGAGCCAGGTACACACCTAACCCATACCTGAGCCCGCATCCACCCCAACCCACACCTGAACCAGGTACACACCTAACCCATACCTGAGCCTGCGTCCACCCCAACCCACACCTGAGCCCGTGTCCACCCCAACCCATACCTGTGCCTGGTATACACCTAACCCACACCTGAGCCAGCGTCCACACCTGAGCCCATGTGCATACCTGCACCCCCACCTGTGCCTAGTACACAGCTAACCCACACCTGAGCCCATGTCCACACCTGTACCCCCGCCTGTTCCCAGTCCACACCTGCACCCCCGCCTGTGCCCGGTCCACACCTGCACACCCCCACCCCCGCCTGTGCCCGGTCCACACCCATGCCTGCATCTGCACTCACACCTGTGCTCAGGTCTGCATCCTTGAGCATACTCAGAGCTGTGCCCTCCCCATCCTGTGTCCACGCCCACCCTCCTCTCGTGGCCTCAGTTACTGCCACAGCAGGTCACTGGTGATTGGGACCGAAGGTGAGCGTGGATACTCCCCTGCCGGGTGGCGCCTCCTCAGCTGTCACGAGCTCCGTCCATTCAAACCTGACCCCCCAGCCTCCCTCCCTCGCCCTCCTTCCTCTCACGACCGCTGACGGGTAGGCTGAGGCCACGCTCATGACCACACCCCTCCCCACACATCTGGTAGCCCTGCTGATGCAGCCCTGCACACCTGAGTACCCCAGTCTCCGCCCCAGTCCAGGACGCGGCCTCAGAACCCCTCCTGAGCCGCTGAGGAGCGCCCAGATGCACACTGGGGCCCCCCGCTCTTGTACTACCAACCCCTGCCTTGGCCACCTCACGCTCCGATGCACAGCCCCACCATGCCCAGCACCCCCCACGTTGGCTCCTCCTGCACCCCGGGCAACCCCTGGATCTCAGCTCTGACTCTGACCCAGCAGCCGCGTCACAGGCGCCCTCAGGACCAGGTGTCCGCTCTTTGCATCGTCACGGGCCGCTGTTCCCCCACCCCCCAGACTAGTTCTCCGAGGCTGGCCTGGCCCTGTTGGTTCGTCCCAGCGCCTCTCCCAGGGGTGAGGTGGAAGGAACGCATGAGTGATGTGTAAACACGGTCCTTCATCGGCGAAGTGACACTAGTGAAATGTCACAGTCCCTCAGCTACCACTGCAGGGCTCTTGAGGCCTGGTTACCGGACACTGAGCTTGAAGTTCCGGACGGATCTTGCAGTGTCTGTAGCAATAATGTGGTTCCAGCTAATTAGGGCCCCACAGGCACACCCCTGATCCTCCCTGTGGCGTGGTTAAGGCGCTGTTCTGATAGCCGATTACAGTTCGCGCCCTGGACTCCGCCGCCTGAAAATCACACTGGGTGCATGTACGTACCTGTCCCAAATCCTGAGAGCAGAAGGGACAGCGGCTGGCCCTCGGCCCCGGGGCAAGCTTCACTCTCCCTTTCTCTGTCTCTGGCAAACGCAAGCGTGCCCTAGGGCAAAACCTGAAAGCAGCCTTCGGCAGAATCTTACCTGAGCAGCGGTAGCCCTTTCTAGAAGACCACACAAGGGGGCGGCTCTTGAAAATGTCACCCTTGGTCAACGACATTTTGCTGGGGACAGGAGAACGTAGTGGCTTCCTCGCTGTGACCCAGGCTGCTGTGGGAGGGACTCTGCGCTTACACCCAGCCTGAGCTCACATCTAAGCAGGCTTCGTGGAGTGGGGGCTGCAGTGGGTGACAGGTTTGTAAGAGAGGCCCCCCAGTTCGCTTTGAAGCAAGAGCACCATGTGGGTGAAACCACCTGTGCCCCGGGGACGTGGCTTACCTGAGCCCGCCCCAGAAGGACGGAAGTGGGACAGCGCCTGTGGGTCTGGACACGATGATGGGGCTGGACACAACAGAGCTCGTTCCCTCCGTGTCCGGAGCAGACACCAGGGTCCTGGCGCCTGATAACTGCAGTGAGACTCGTTCGCTCGCGCTCTGGGTCCCTGCACCTGCGCTGCCCAGGGAGCTGGCTCTTCAGGCTGGGACCCTGGTGAGGCGGCTCCAGCCCGACAGCAGGTCTCTGCAGGTGGCATCTGGTGGCCCCACATGTGCATCTTGAGGCTTACAGCCTACCTGTGAGGACTGGGTCTTCCTGCCCTCCCGTTCCCCTCCCCCAAATGCCCTCAGGGAAGCCAAGGCACCCCTGAGTTCCTGAGGCCATGGGTGTGCTGCACCCAGCTTTTAGGGCGCTGGGAATCAAACCTGGTCCTCCCACATGGCTCAGCCTGCCTCGCAGGTGTGCAGCACCGTGGCTGGGCTGTAAATGGCATCTATCTTTTAAGAGAGATTTTTGCGATAGGGCATGTGTGCTTGCCAGAGAAAGAGAAAAAGCGAGATATCACCTCCCAGATGGGAGGGCCACGCTGCAATTTCTTCTCTACTCTCCTCTCGGGATCTTGGGCACACACACAAACATGGCCGGCATGAGTTTTAAGCTGCCAGGTCCAGGACTTGAACCGTGGTTGACTATGTGGGATTCCAGTGATGTAACCATTAGGCTATCCCTGGTCCCTGTAAATGGCATCTTAAAAGTGAAGGCCCACGATGCTCTTGGGAGTAAATGGCAGAGAAGGAGCGGGTCACGTTGGGGCTGGCCTATGGTGGTGGGTGGAAACTCGTGTATAAGCTGCCTGGGGGGAGCAGGTTGTGGCCAGGTCTGCCTGGCACGGCTCACCGCGGTACGCACCGAGCATGAGGCCTGGCTTGGGTCCTTGGTGCATGTGGATTGGCCACAGGGACAGCGGGCTTGGGTCACGTGGACAGCCTTGCTCCATGAGGACGGGAGGTGAGGCTTGGGTGACAGCCCCACATACAGGGCTGCCGGTGCCTGCATCTCATAGCAGGTCTCAGCTGAGCGGCTTTCCCCTCCCCCACGACCAGGGACAGGATGCCTTTCTGGTTGTCACAAACGAGGGTGCCACTGCCCTCTCACGGGTAGAAGCCCGGGAGGCTGCGGACATCCAACATGCCCGGGACGGCCCCAAACACCTGCGGCGCTGAGCGGGGGAGGCCCTGACTCAGAACACACAGCGGGATGGGTGTGTTCTGTCCCATGGAGGAGCCGACTGTCCTCACGCATGTGCTGCCATGCAAGACCGATTGATTGTCTCAGATGCACCTGCAGTGTCCGCACTCCCGGCTTGACCTGTTTTTCCTTTCACTCACCCCATTGCCTTCTCCGAGAAGCTGCCAGCGAGGAGGCCTTCTGGAAGAAGGGAGGACAGTTCCCTGCTGCGACAGTTCCCGCCGGCTCCGAGGAAGGCACGGCCAGAAGCGAGGACCTGGAGGACCTGGAGGAGGACATGACCTGCGAGATGATCCTCGACCTGATGGACAAGTGACGGGGGGTTCATCTCCAGACCCTTCCTTCTCAAGTCCAGATAGACATCCTTAGCTTCTTCTGTGAAACCAGTTCATGACAATGAAGGTCACGTTTTTCCAGAGTTGGGGGCAGTGCTAGGATTGTTGGCCTGTTTTTAGCTTGGTGTTCCCAAAACATTGCAAGTAACTTCTAGAGTTAAACCTCCAGTCAGAGGTAACACCTGACACCTGTGAATTGCCCCGCCTGGTGGCAGTGAGCTGTCAGCGAGTGCGCGGTGACCTGGGATGTCAGTGTTAGATCAGCAGGCAGGCGCTGCGGTGCTGGAAAACACCACGTTCGATGTAGAAACCCAGTGTTCCTAGTGTTATGACCTTTAAACGTTAGAGACTGGGTCAGCAAGTGGCATGGTGGTCAAGGCGCTGGACTCCCACGTGGCTCAACGCAACTTGAGTCTTGGACCCAGGGATTCAAAAAACATGCAGCATGTATGTGCATGCATGTCCCAAATCCTGAGAGGAGAATGGAGAAGGGACCTTGGTGTGGCCACTCTCACTAGGGAGCAATTTCTCACTTTCCCTCGCTCTGACTCTTTTTCTGGCGAGCACATGTGCCCTATGGCAGAGACCTTAATAAAAAATAAAAACAATTAAAGACTAGTTTTATATTTTTATACAGATGAATTCTCCTTAAAATGTAAAGTTACCGGGAACCAGCAGTTAGCGTAATGGCTATGTCGCTGGACTCCCACGTAGTCGACCGCGGTTCGTGTCCCGGACCCGGTGGCTTAAAACTCACGCCGGGCACATGTGCGTGCGTGCCCAAGATCCCGAGAGGAGAATGGAGGAGAAGGGATTGCGGCGTGACCATCCCCCCTGGGGGGTGATTTCTCGCTTTCTGTCTCTATGTCTCTCTCTGTCTGTCTGGCGAGCGCACGCACCCTACAGTGAAAATCTCTCAAAAAAAAAAAAAAATGTAAAGCTACCATCGTGCTTTTAATTAGTCCTAAGTGCAACCCAAAAGATCTTAGTGTTATAAAGAAGAAAACCGTGTCAGAAAGATTCCTATCTTGGATCAGCCAGAGCCGACTGGAAAGTGATGAGGACTGCCGGTCCTCAGGCAGCCGACCTCTGGGTTTCCGTGCTCTCTTACTGATGTTCTGGCAGCTGTGCGATCGCTTCATGGCTCCATATTCCAGCCCACAACCCTTCTGCTTCACTACAACTCCTTCACTGACTTTTAATTTGGCAGAGTGAGAAGAGACAGAAATCTATCGATAATGAAATTGTGTACCTCTAAAAGAATCTCTCTCTTTTCATAACACCTCATCCTTAGCCAGCTGAGATTCCCCCACCCTCGGGCAGCATGAGACGCGCTTCTTTCTTTAAAATTAACTAGGCCCAACCTTGATAACGAGCCAGACTGCTCTTCTCCAAGCCCGACGGCTGTTTTTGCTATGACCCTCTCCCTCCACCCCCACATATCCAAATCATTGATAGGTTTTTAATTCACATTCATAAGATAGCAATCTGTTGTTAAAAGTATTTCAAGTTTGGGACCACCAGGTAGCATAATGGTTATGTCATTGGACTCCCACACAGCCGATTGTGGTTTGAGTCCCAGACCCAGTGGCTTGAAATTCAGCCAGGCACGTGTGCATGTGTGCCCAAGATCCCAGGAAGAAAATTGAAGAGAAGGGATTGCAGTGTGGCCATCCCCCTGGGGTTGATTTCTTACATCCTGTGTCTCTCTGTTTCTCTGGTGAGTGCACATGCCCTATAGCAAAAATAATCTCAGGACCAGCAGTTGGCATAATGGCTGTGTTGCTGAACTCCCATGTAGTCGACCACAGTTCGAGTCCCGGACCCAGTGGCTTAAACTCACACTGGGCACATGTGCGTGCGTGCCCAAGATCCTGAGAGGAGAATGGAGGAGAAAGGATTGCAGCATGGCCATTCCCCCTGGGGGTGATTTCTCGCTTTCTGTCTCTCTCTCTCTGTCTTTCTGGTGAGCGCATGCATCCTATAGGAAAAAAAAAAAAACTGTATTAAAAAAAAAGAAAAAAATTGTTTGAATTTTTTTTGAAACACTTTGGGCAGTGTGAGGGTATGGAAAGTCTTCCTCCAGGAAGGCCACTGTATTCTCTTTGTACCAGCCAGTTAATTCAGCTCTTATAGTGAGGCCTAAATTCTGGGGTCTGTGCTGTGCTGTCATTGTGACTGGGTTTTTGTGATAACTTCGTATTTTGTGACTGCTGTTGGTAGATACTTTACATAGCTCATTAAAATGAAATGACTTCAAACTGCTATCTTTGTTATAATGTGAGTAACGGTCCTGAAAAATGTCGTCTTTGTCTGCAAAGGACGTGAGGGAACTGGAGCCGCTGTGCCCTGCTGGTGCGGATGTGAGATCGTGCAGCCACTGTGGAAACCAGAATGTAGTTTCTCAAACACGGTACCGTATGGGGACCAGCAGTTAGCGAAATGGCTATGTCGCTGGACTCCCACGTAGTCGACCACGGTTCGCGTCCCGGACCCGGTGGCTTAAAACTCATGCCGGGCGCGTGTGCGTGTGTGCCCAAGATCCCAAGAGGAGAACGAAGGAGAAGGGATTGTGGCGTGGCCATCCCCCCCCACCCCGGGGGTGATTTCTCGCTTTCTGTCTCTATCTGTCTGGGTGGAGCGCACACGCTCTATAGCAAAAAACTCAAAAAAAAAAAAAAAAGGTACCATATAGGGCCAGCAGATGGCATAGTGGTTAGGTCTCTGGACTCCCACATGGCCAACTATGGTTTGAGTCCCAGTGGCTTGATCATCATGCCAGGCGTGTGTGCGTGTGTGCCCAAGAGCCTAGGAGGAGAACGGAGAAGGGACTGCGGAGTGGCCATCTCCCCTGGGGGGGGGGGCGGTTTCTCTCCCTCTGACTGTCTTTCTCTGGCAAGCACACATGCCCTATGGCAAAACTCTCTAAAAATAATAATAATAATAATAAAAGCTGTACCGTAGAATTAGCACACAGGCCAGCAGTTCCTGGGTATGCACCCAAAGAACCAGAAACGGGCCGTGTTGATGGCAGGGTTATTCCAAATGGGCAGAAGGTGGTGGCAGCTCCGGCTCCATCAGTGGGCGACTGGACAAACGACACGGGACGCGGCACGCCTAGAACATTACGGACCCTTAAGGAGGACGGCCTGCCACCTGCCACCGCCTGGGTGAGCCTCGAGGACATGGTGCCGGATAAAATAAGCCAGCCTCAAAAGGACAGACACCACGAGGCCACTGAGAGGAGGGCCCTGGGGTCATGGAGTTCAGAGAGACAGAGTGGAGTGGCGGTTGCCAGGGGCCGGGGGCTGGGAAGCAGGCAGGTTGGGGGCCATGGGGGCCGGGGCTTCAGTCTTA